CCACTTCCTGATCAGGCACTCTGATACTTAACGGCTGCCCTGACCCCATGCCAAGCCTTCTACTTGGGGAATGGTCAGAGTCCCCTGAGTATGCATATCAACCCTTCTTCACTCCCACCCACTGCCTTCTAGAAACTTCTCAAGCTTCTCAAGCAAGGGGTGGTATCAGGGAACTGACCTGCAGAGCCCTCAGCCCTGACCTAAAGTTAACCTGCTTGACTCATTCCAGGCTGCTGTCCAGCCTCTAACTAAAAAAAAACATACAGTTGCAAGAAAGAGTATGTGAACCCCTTGGGATTACGTGGAGTTTTGCATGAATTGGGCATAAAAATGTGCTCTGAACGTCATCTAAGTCACAACAATAGAAGAACACACTCTGCTGAACATAATACTACACAAACATTAGATGTTGCTATGGTTTAATTGCACATAACATGTAAACATTCACAGTGCAGGGAGGAAAAAGTATGTGAACCTTTGGACTTAATAACTGGTTGACCCTCCTTTGGCAGCAATAACCTCAACCAAATGTTTCCTGTAGTTGCAGATCAGACCTGCACAACGATCTGGAGTAATTTTGGACCACTCCTCTTCACAAAACTGTTTCAGTGTAGCAATATTCTTGGGATGTCTGGTGTGAATCGCTCTCTTAAGGTCATGCCACAGCATTTCAATCGGGTTGAGGTCAGGACTCTGACTGGGCCACTCCAGAAGGTGTATTCTGTGCTGTTGCAGCCATTGTTTTGTTGAATTACTTGTATGCTTTGGGTCATTGTCCTGTTGCATCACCCATCCTCTGCGGAGCTTCAGTTGGCGGACAGATGGTCGTACGTTTTCCTGCAAAATGTCTTAATAAACTCTGGAATTCATTTTCCCATCAATGACAACAATCCGTCCAGGCCCTGAGGCAGCAAAGCAGCCCCAAACCATGATGCTCCCTCCGCCATGTTTTACAGTTAGGATGAGGTTTTGATGTTGGTGTGCTGTGCCTTTTTTTTCTCCACACATAGTGTTGTGTGTTCTTCCCAAACAACTCAATCTTGGTTTCATCTGTCCACAGTATATTTTTGCCAGTAGTGCTGTGGAACATCCAGGTGCTCTTTTGCAAACTTCAAACGTGCTGCAATAATCTTTTTGGACAGCAATGGCTTCCTCTGTGGTGTCCTCCCATGTACTCCATTCTTGTTTAATGTTTTCCTTATTGTAGATGTGTCAACAAAAATGTTAGCATGTGCCAGAGATTTCTGTAGGTCTTTAGCTGACACTCTGGGATTCTTCTTTACCTCATGCAGCATTCTGCTCTGTGCTCTTGCAGTCATTTTTACAGGATGACCACGCCTAGGGAGAGTAGCAACAGTGCTAAACTTTCTCCATTTGTAGACAGTCTGTCTTACCGTGGACACATGAACATCAAGGCTTTTGAAGATACTTTTGTAACCCTTTCCAGCTTCATGCAAGTCAACAATTCTTGATCGTAGGTCTTCTGAGAGCTCTTTTCTGAGAGGCATGGTTCACATCAGACAGTGCTTCTTGAAACCAGTAAACCCAAAACAGGTGTGTGTTTTTTAAGGGCAGGACAGCTGTCAGCAACACATCCAATATCATCACACTGATTGGAGTCAAAGTTGGCTCACTCCTGGCTCCAATTAGCTCTGGGAGAAGTCATTAAGCTAGGGCCTCACATACTTTTTCCTCCCTGCACTGTGAATGTTTACATGTTATGTGCAATTAAACCATGGCAACATTTAATGTTTGTGTAGTATTATGTTCAGCAGACTGTGTTCTTCCATTGTTGTGACTTAGATGACGTTCAGAGCACATTTTATGCCCAATTCATGCAAAACTCCACGTAATCCCAAGGGGTTCACATACTTTTCTTGCAACTGTAGCTAACTCCCCCTGGCTAACTAGAGGGGCACTACACAAACAAACAAACAAACAAACATATTTTGTTTTGAGTTACACGTCAAATGAATAAAACAGCTGCAAGTCTAACTCCACAATACACACACTGTTTAAGCCTAATGATGTAATTGTATGAGAAGTGGCTGATCCATGATGCACTTGTGAATTCATACTTTGAATAGAGAATGTTTCAGTTTGTGTTTCTGTTATGTTGAAAAGTATAATTTGGACAATTAAACTATTGGTATAATTATATTCTCTTTGAAGAAGACTTGTCGCTATACAGCTGCATGAAATTAAATATCTGAACTGCAAAGCTGTAAGATTCTGACTTTTATATTAATCATTAAATTCATACAAATTAAACTTGTGGGACTATGTAAAACAAGCCCACTGAGACTCCTAGGAGTCCCTAAGCACCCCCAGGAATAGGGGAGTCTACTGTACACATACTACTCTTACTTAAACAAGGAAACATGCGATTGTCAGATGTTTTGTTTTCTCATTGTCTAATGGTGACACAGTTCATACAGAATATGTATCTCTTAACTAGAGATGAGCGAAGTATTCAAAAATTCGATTCGACTGATTCGGCGAATTCGTGGAAAAATTTCGATTCGAGTCGAATATATTCGCTGCGAATTTAACTTATAAAAGGGTGTTTCTAGGCTTCAGAGAGACTTTATATTAGTGCAGAACACTGTACCTTTAATTTAAATGCCCTTGGAGTCTGCTGGGGAAGAGAAATATACTGACAGTCAGTATGACATGCAGATGAGTGCCGTCGATCTTAGAATCACCGCACACTTCACTCATTTGGGCAATCACGGGGCCAAAACCAGAGTGTGGAGCCACAGTGTGGCGGTGGAGGCAGCAGCAATGGGAGGCCATACAGCACCCTATGACAAAAATGGAAACCACCAGCAGTGTGAGGAGACCTGAAAGTGGCACATGGCAGAGTGTGGCGATGGAGACAGCAGCAATGGGAGGCCGTACAGGGACCCATGACACACTCTGGACCTGGCAGCAGCATGAGGAGGCGGGTGCCCCCCTACAGGGGCCCATGACAGATTACGGGCCTGGCAGCAGCATGAGGAGTTGGTACGGGACGGGGCCCATGGCAGATTACGGGCCTGGCAGCAGCAATGGGAGGCCGTACAGGGACCCATGACACACTCTGGACCTGGCAGCAGCATGGGGAAGGCGGTACCAGGGGCCCATGACAGATTACGGGCCTGGCAGCAGCATGAGGAGTCATTTACGGGGGGCCCATGACACACTCTGGACCCTGGCAGCAGCATGAGGAGGCGGTACAGGGGCGCATGACAGATTACGAGCCTGGCAGCAGCAACTTGGACAGGAGAGGACGTTCAGCTTCTGCACCGTAGGGTGCGTGCTCGCCAAACTGTTGTCTCTTGGAAAACGGATTCCAAGAAAGACTGCTGACGGAATCCGTGAATATTTATGAAGAGGTAGTAGAGGAAGGAGCATTGAACGAGCGGAATATGCCAGCAAGCGACAAAAACAGGGGCCCATGACAGATTACGGGCCTGGCAGGCAGCATGAGGAGTCGGTACGGGGGCCCATGGCAGATTAGGGGCCTGGCAGCAGCTATGGGAGGCCCGTAATCTCCAGCACCCCCCTATGACAAAAAATGGAACCCACCACGCAGTGTGAGGGAGACCTGAAAGTGGCACATGGCAAAGGTGTGGCGATGGAGACAGCAGCAATGGAGGCCGTACAGGGGACCCATGAGAGACTCTGGACCTGGCAGCAAGCATTGAGGAGGCGGTATAGGGGCCCATGGCAGATTAGGGGCCTGGCAGCAGCTATGGGAGGCCCGTAATCTGCCAGCACCCTATGTGACAAAAAATGGAACACACCAGCTAGTTTGTGATGAGACCTGAAAGTGGCACATGGCAGAGTGTGGCGATGGAGACAGCAGCAATGGGAGGCCGTACAGGGACCCATGAGAGACTCTGGACTTGGCAGCAGCATGAGGAGGCGGGTACAGGGGGCCCATGGCAGAATTAGGGGACCTGGCAGCAGCTATGGTAGGCCCGTGTAATCTGCCAGCACCCTATGACAAAAAAATGGAACACACCAGCAGTGTGAGGAGACCTGAAAGTGGCACATGTTTGGGGCATGATTCATGGGGATTTAGTCAGTTGTGTCAGGAAACTGGGTGGTTTGAAAATCCAGACTAATCCTACGCCTGATTCATTTTTCACAAAACGTGCAGTCTCTCCACACTTTGGGTGGACAGTCGTGTCCTCCGCGGGAGTTGCAATACCTCCTGCCGTCTAAACACGACGCTCCGAATGCCACGTACTGGTATCGGGCATGACAAGCTTTCAAGGGCAAATTCAGCTAGTTGGGGCCATAAGGTCAAGTTTCGTTGCCCAGTAGTCAAGGGGGAATTGTCTACCCTCGCGGTTGGCAGGGTGCTGTCCAAGGTAGGCCTAAGCCTGTTGTTTGAGGTCCTGCTCCAGGTCACCTCGATGCTGCTGCTGCTGCTGCTGCGGCTGGTTAGTAGTTTCCGCTCACTGCACTGGTGAAGAAAGCTACTCATCATCGACTGCAGACTGAGGCAGCTGCTGCTGGTGGAAGCTGCCATGCTCTACCACCCCACCCTTTCCTGCTGCCATGGCAGTGGAACAGCCAGTTTGATGTAGCGCACAGGGGCCCACATGTGTTGAGGATGGACGTTGGCGCAGACAGGCAGAGACAGCTGACTACATTAGGTGGTTTTTATAGTACGTTATTTTGGCCTCCATCTCAGCAGGTGTGAAAAAGGCCCACCATTTTTTGAACGGTAGCGAGGGTCCAACAAGGTGGACAGCAAAAGTCATCCCTCTGTTGATGGTTATTTATTCGGCTGTCGGTACGCAAGCAAGCGAGGATGCTATGGCCATTTGTGCCAAGGAATGCGATGGGACTCCCCTGCCTCCATCTCCACAGGCATACTGCCACGGTGCGTCTGGGTCCTCTGTCTCCTCATCTTCCCTCCTCTCTACAGATGCTTCTGCTCCTCCATATCTCCTGTCTGCTGAGTGGAAAAACCACCCATTTCACTCAATAATTCCTGAGCACAATGTCGCTCCTCTACCGATCTTCATCTTCTTCCTGTCATGCCCCACAGGGGTCATGTGGCGTTGCCCGTTGAGATCTGTGCGCCACGTCTACGCACCCTGACCAGCCCATTGTTAACAGCATTTGTTCCAGGACGTGCAAACAAGAGGGAATGCATAGTCCTGCCGACTCACAAATAGCGTGCCTCTCAAAGGGCACTGAGCAAGCGCAGGTGTCAACGCATGAGCTGCCAATGGTCTGACATCTACGTTACACAGGGAGTACCTTTATCCGCTTTTTTAACATCAGGAAATCTGTGATTGGCCTTTTGCTGTTCGTAAAGGCGGTCTAACATATGTAGGGTTGAATTCCACTTGTTGCAACGTCACAGCTATGAGGAGTCGGTACGGGGGCACATGGCAGATTTACGGGTCTGGACAGCAGCAATGGGAGGCCGTAATCTGCCAGCACCCTATGTCAAAAAATTCAACACACCAGCAGTGTGTGAGGAGACCTGAAAGTGGCACATGGCAGAAGTGTGGCGATGGGACAGCAGCAATGGGAGGCGTACAGGGACCTATGAGAGACTTCTGGACCTGCAGCAGCATGAGGAGGCGGGTATTATAGGGGCCCATGGCAGATTAGGGGCCTTGGCAGCAGCTATGGGAGGCCCGTAATCAGCCAGCACCCTATGTCAAAAAAATTGAAACACACCAGCAGTGTGTGAGGAGACCTGAAAGTGGCACCATGGCAGAGTGTGGCGATGGAGACAGCAGCAATGGGAAGGGGGGGGGCCGTACAGGGACCCATGTGAGACTCTGGACCTTTGGCAGCAGCAATGAGGAGGCGGGTTATAGGGGCCCCTGGCAGATTAGGGGCCTGGCAGCAGCTATAAGAGGCCCGTAATCTGCACTGCACCTATGTCAAAAAATTGAACCACACCAGCTGGCAGTGTGAGGAGACCTGAAAGTGGGACACATGGCATGAGACCACTGTGGACCTTGCAGCAGCATGAGGCAGGCCGGAGGTACAGGGGCCCCATGGCAGATTAGGGGCCTGGCAGCAGCTATAGGAGGCCGTAATCTGCCAGCACCCTATGACAAAAAATGGAACACACCAGCAGTGTGAGGGAGACCTGAAAGTGGCACATGGCAGAGTGTGGCGATGGAGACAGCAGCAATGGGAGGCCGGTACAGGGACCCATGACAGACTCTGGATTGGCAGCAGCAAATGAGGAGGCGGTTCTAGGGGCCCAAGGCAGATTAGGGGCTGGCAGCAGCTATGGGAACGCGCCCTCTAATCTTGACAACACCCTATGTCAAAAAATTCAACACACCAGCAGTGTGAGGTGACTGGAAAGTTGGCACATGGCATGAGGACACTGTGGAGGCCTGGCAGCAGCATATGAGGAGGCGGTACCAGGAGGCCCATGGCAAGATAAGGGGGCCTGGCAGCATCTATATGAGGCCCGTTACATCTGCCAGCACCCTATGACAAAAAAATGGAACAACCACCAGCAGTCGTGAGGAGAACATGAACAGTGGCATCATGGCAGAGAGTGGCGATCGGAGACAAGCAGCAATGAGGATGGCTCGTTTACAGTGGAACCCATTGAGAGACTCTGGACCTTGGCAGCAGCTGATGTAGGAGCGCGGTATAGGGGCCCATGGCCAGGATTTAGGGTCTCGGCGAGCGAGCTATAGGAGGCACGTAATCTGCCAGCACCCCTAATGTCAAAAAATTGAACACACCAGCAGTCGTGAGGAGACCTGAAAGTGGGCAACATATGGCATGTTTCAGGACACACTGTGGACCTGGCCAAGGCAGCATGAGGAGCGTGGATACAGGGGGCCCATGGCAGATAAGGGGTCCTAGTCAGCAAGCTATAGGAGGCCCGTTAACTACTGCCAGCACCCCTATGGACAAAAAATGGAACACACACCCAGGCAGTGTGAGGAGACCTGTAAGTGGCACATGGCACAGTAGTGTGTGGCGATGGATTGACAGCTGCAATGGGAGGCCGTACAGCGACCCATGAGAGACTCTGGACCTGGCTAGCAGCATGAGGAGGCGGTATAGGGCCCATGGCAGAGTTAGGAGGCCTGGCAGGCAGCTATAGGAAGGCCCGTGTGTAGACATCTGCCCAGCACCTATGTCAAGTAGACAAATTGAACACACAAGCACGTGCTGTGAGGAGACTCTGAAAGTGGCACATTTATTTTGCATGAGACACATGTGGACCTAGGCAGCATCATGAGGAGGCGGTACAGGAGCACATGGCAGATTAGGGTGCCTGGCAGCAGCTATAGGAGGGCCGCGTAATCTGCCAGCACCCTATGACAAAAATGGAAACACACCAAGCGAGTCTGTGAGCGAGGAGACCTGAAGTGGCAGGAGGACACATGCGCAGAGTGTGGCGATGGGAGACAGCAGCACATGGAGATGGCCGTACAGCGGACCCTATGAGAACACTGTGGGACCTGCAGCTGCAGCATGAGGAGTCGGTACAGGGGCCCATGGCCAGATTAGATTTAGGGGCCTGGGCAGCAGCTATGGGAGGCCCCGTCATCTGCCAGCCACCCTATGACAAAAAATTGGAAACACACAGCCGTTTGAGGAGACCTGAACAGTGGCACAGCCGGACATGGAGAGTGTGGCCCGCATGGAGACAGCAAGCATATGGGAAGCCGTACAGTGATCCTATGAAGAGACTCTGGAACCATGGCAGCAGCCATGAGGAGGCGGTATTACAGGGGACCATCGGCAGATTTAGGGGCCAGGCAGCAGAGCATGGGAGGCCCGTAATCGGGCCAGCACCCGATGAACTAAAAAATTGGAAAACACCAGCAGAAGTGTGTGAGGAGACCTCGATAGTGGCACATGGTCAGAGTGTTGGCGAAAAATATTTTTTTGGGAGGGACAGCAGCAATTGGGAGGCGGATTCAGGGAACCCATAGAGGGACACTGTCGGACCTGGCAGGCCAGCATGAGGAACGGCTGTCACTGGGGGCCCATGGCAGATTAAGGCCTCGGCAGCCAGCAAATTGGGCAGACCGAAAATGGCGACGCTGCATATGCTGACGCAACGACTGTTTTAGTCCCCATACATGGAGCCCCTGGCCACGCTTTGACTTTCTCCGGCACACTATAGTTAGACATACGGGCTACGATTACTTCCTCGGTCGGCTTCACGAAAATTTGCCCACACCGCCGAGTTCGGAAACTTTGCACCGCTACTCTCTCACCTGGCTGGGACTGCTACTTCATCCTCGTGCACACGTTGGCACCACTACTGGCCGTTTGGTGGTCCAGGCTCGCAGTTGGAAGCTGGTGTCTCTAACTCGTGGCCGTTTTGCCTCCACTTGACCACTGCTGCGACCCTGACTTGCCTCCTGGCAGCAGCAATGGTGAGGCTCGACCCAGGGACCCATGACACATCTCTGTGACCCTGGCAAGCAGCATGAAGAGGCGGTTCAGGGTCCCAATGGCAGGATTACAGGCCTAGGCCAGCAGCAATTGGGAAGGGCCGTTAATCTGCCAGCACCCTATGACACAAAAATGGAACCACAACCAGCTAGTGTGGAGGAGACCTGAAAGTTGGCACATGGCCAGGAGTGTGGCAATGGGAGACAGCAGGCAATGGGGCGGCCGTACAGGGAACCATGAAGAGACTCTGGGATCTGGCCAGCAGCATGAGGAGGCATGGTTTACAGGGGCCCATGGCAGGATTTTACGCGGGCGCTGGCAAGCGATATAATGCGTTTGCGCCGATAAATCTGCCAGCACCCTATACACAAAAAATTGAACACACCAAGCAGTGTGAGGAGACCTGAAAGTGGCACATGGCACGGGGCATGAATTCATGGCGGGATTTAGTCAGGTTGTGTCAGGAACTGGTGAGTTTGATTGAAATCCAGACAAATTCCACAGCCTGATTCATTTTCACAAACGTTGAGTCTCTCCACACTTTGGTTGTGGACAGTCGTGTCCTCCACGGAGTTACAATACCTCCTGCCGCACTCAAAGACCACGCACTCCGATGCAACGACTACTGGGAGGGCATGACAGCCTTTCATGGGCAAATTTCCGCTAGTTGGGGCCAAAAGGATCAAGGTTTCGTTTTGCCCAGAATAGTCAAAGGGATTGATCTACCTCGGTTTGGCGAGGGTTGCTGTCCCAAGTAAGGCTCCATGCCTGTTGTTTGAGGTCCTGCTTCCCAGCGTTCCTCCCACCTGATGCTGCTGCCTGCTGCGGCTGGTTAGTAGTTTCCTCACCTGCATTGGTTGAAGAATAGCTACTATTCATACGATCTGCAGGGACTGAGTCAAGCGCTGCTGGTGGAGATTGCGCACTTGCTCCTTACACCCCCACCCTCCTTTGCTGCCATGGCAGCGGAAACGCCGGGAGCGCATCAGAGGCCCACAGTGTTTCTGTGGGATGGACGACGTTTGGCGACACAAAGGCAGAGACCAACTGGGACTACATAGGTGGTTTTTATATACAGTACGTTAAAATTTGGCCTCCCTTCTCAGCAGGTTGTTGAAAAAAGGCCACCTTTTTGAAACTGGTAAGCGAGGGTCAACAACACGTGGACAGCCAATAGTCATCACTCTGTCTGATGGTTCGTATTCGGCTGTCGATACGCAAGTCAATCGAGCATGCTATGGGCCATTAGTTGCCAAGGAATGCGAGGGGACTCCCTGACTCATCTCCACAGCATACAGCCACGGTGCAGTCTGGGTCCTCTGTCTCCTCCTCCTGTCTACCAGATGATCCTTGCTCTCTCACTCCTGTCCGCTGAGTGCGAATAAACCAACCCATTTCACTCAATAATTCCTGAGCACAATATGTCCTCCTCTACCTCCTCCTCTTCTTACTGTCCTGGGGCCCCCACCCCACAGGGGTCATGTGGCGTTGGAGAGATCTGTGCGACACGTCTACCTGCACCCTGACCCAGCCATTGTCTAACAGCATTTGTTCCAGGACGTTCATCAAGAGGATATGAAGTCGTTCATCCCATAGTCTGACAGGACTCTACGTATAGCGTGGCATCCTCAAAGGCCTAGAGGGCCCTATGAGCATGCGGTAGGTATCACGCCATGAGGCTGCCTAATTGGCTAACATCGAGAGTTACACAGGGGAGTACCTTTATACCGCTTTTTAACATCATGTGAATAATCCGGCGTGTGATGGCCTTACGCCCCTGTCCCCCCACTGACGTTAAAAGGCGGGTTTATCTACCCAATTTGGTGTAGGGTTGAATTCCACCTGTTGTTGGCAACGTCGCAGATCAGGCGATGCAGTTGTGGAATTCCGTTCTGCCGCTGCAGCTCATAGGAGGGTTGTGCTTTCGCCGTTGTAGGAATGGCTGAAATGGCATGCAAGGTTGTTACGCTGTACCATTTTAAGGATGTCTTGCTAGTGGGATGGTGGATTTTCGGAACCGCGTTGGACAACCAGACTATGAAAATACGTGAAGCCATGCATGGCGCACATTGGCACAACCTTCCTTGACGCAGACGCAGACACCATGTTTCTTTCCGTTGTTTCGGTTCAACATGGTTCCGATTTTCAGTTTGCGCTGGAGGACTGCCATCTGTCGGATCTTCTCTTGTTCATTACAACTGGAGAAGTTCCTTCCACCAGTGTGACTACAGTTTCGACTGGACCTGGCATAGGCAGCATGAGGGAGGCAGGGTATAAGGTGCCCATGGCAGTATTAGGGGCCTTGGCAGCAAGCTCATTGGGAAGACCGTAATCTCGCCAGCAAACCTAATGTCAAAAAAAATTGAACCAACTCCAGCAAGTGTGTTGAGCAGACTGGAAAGTGGCAACATGGCACCATGAGCAGAGTGTGTCGATGGAGACGTGCAGCAAATGGGAGGCCGGTAAGGGGATCCATAGAGAGACTCTGGAGCTTCGCTCCCAGCAGCATGAGGAGGCGGGTTATAGGGGCCCCCATGGCAGATTAGGGGCCAGGGACAGGCAGCTCTGGGAGGCCGTAAATCTGCCAGCACCCTATGTCAAAAAAAATTGAACACACACCAGCAGTGTGTGAGGAGAGACCTCGAAAGAGGCACATGGCAGAGTTGTGTGGCGATGGAGGACAGCAAGCAATGGGAGGGCCATACAGGGACCCATGAGGAGACTCTGGACTTCGCAGCAGCATGAGGACGGCGGTATAGGCGGCCATTGGCAGATTAGGTGCCT